TGGACGGAAACACATTTTAGTATTGGTAGAACAGATCGAAAATAATATGGGTAAAAATCTTATGAAACTGCAGTTTAATGGCGCGTGAACGACATGTGCACATGCCGCGGTCCTGTTAACATCAAAGTAGCGAAATACAATATCAAATTCAATATGCGCTTTTGCACGATTTTGCCAGTTATACATGCATCATTCATTCCCGGTCCGGTCCATTGTTTGATATTACATTCAACGTTTCCGAGAGGCTTTTGTGACGGCGTAAGTGACGTAAAGTGTACGGACTTGCGTTCGGATTTTAGCAAGTGTTAATATTTAGATAAGCGGAGCGAGCACAGCTTGCTTGGAATTATTTTAACCTGACTTTGTTGGTTTAGCATATATGTACAGAATATTGTGTTAATTGCCGTCACCGCTACCGTCCCGATTTAGTTCTCTTGATGCGCGCACGCGTTAATATTTCTGTCGCCGATATCCGGCGTGTTAATTACATCAGTTCCATCTTAATTTCTTCGTTACACAGTAATTCGTTTATCGGTCACCGTCAAATTAAAATATTCGCGACGCGATTAACGAGTAAACGATTGCTATTCATAGTTTCCTTCGATTCCATGCGTCATACTACATTGTATAATTTAAAGGTATCAGCTTTTCTTTTATTCTCAAGTACCAGTACACTTTCACAATAATACAAGGACACAAGATCGAGAAATAATACAGGGTGCTTAAAAAAAATGTTAACAATTATATGGAAGTAACATTTTTAAAGAAATAGAACTGATAACACAAGATATCGTATAGTAACAAATGTATTTTTGTCTTCAAAGAGTCTCCATTTATTCACCATCGTTGCAATGTGCAAGATCTTTGACAGGAAATTGCAAATGTGATTGCAACAATACTCAAAGAAATCTCAGGGCTCTGGGGATCACTTGGAAAAGATTCCAGGAATATGTTGACAATGATGGTGAACAAGTGGAGACTCCTTGAAGACAAAATACATTTGTTACTATGATATAATATCTTGTGTTATATGATATATATAACATTTTTAAGCACCCTGTATATATGACATGTAGATATGTATTATTATATATAAGTGTTAACATTTTTTTTTAAGTACTCTGTATATTAACATTATTTGTATTAAATGTAACTCGTAGCAATTTTAGTTTTCCGGATGAAGTAAGATAAATTCGATAAATTTTTAGTATATCTTTTGCGCTGCGACAACCGCTAATTCGGACAAGTACTATAATCAAGTCTGATCAAAACCGGATCTCCTTTTATTCCCCGCTGATTCCGCTGGGCACAATTGGCGCCGATCCGGGGAAAACTTCCCCGGATCGCGTCAGAGACGCGTCCGGAACCGTGGCCGCCGGACACGTTCCACCGCGCCGAAGTTTCCATCGCATGCTCGAACTCATCAGCGTCGAACCGAACTGTTTCGGTTGGAAGTTAGAAGCAACGGGGCTGTTCCTTGTTTTCGCCAACGCGAACGGAAAAGACGAACACGGTTACCGATAGAAACTTAACCAACCCGCCTTTTCCTCATCGAAGCACTCAGGGAGGGCGAATTCGTTCGGAAATTAATCGTCGCTCTGGTAAAACGTAACTCGATATTTATATATGTTACTTTGTGGGGAAATTTACAGGATTTTTTCCATTACTCTCGCGACTCGAAGTGATGAGATGTGAATTTATATAGTCTCATGCTCCAAGGAATAGAATTGAATTTAATTGATTGAATTTCAATTGTACGATTTAGAGAAGTCATATCAAAAGTTAAAGCAAATCATAAGTACTCTTAATTACATAAATTGGAATCAGATTAATTTAAATTGAATTAAATCGTTTTTTGATCAAAACATGGTTCGCGTCGTAACGTTCTTTTACTAATAATATATATAGTTGTTCTTTACTTTTAAGTTTCGAGGAAAAAGGCAAATTTGCCTCCAGGCGGAAACTTACATGGCCTACTCTTTGAAATTCAATTTGATCACTTAAGATTAAATTACATTGCGAATTGATTTACCGTCTCTTGTATTCGCGAAAGGGGAAGGAAAGGCAAAGGCAAATTCGATATCCACAGGAACGTACGTGCTCCCTTTTTAGTCTCTTTCTTTCTCTCTCTCTCTCTCTGCAAACGGCGAGGGCGAATTTATACCGAAATTAGTCCTCAACCTGGCAAAAAGCGCGGTGCTATCGGCGCGTAATTTCCGTAACGGCGACGCGACTGACATAATAAAGAGACACGTCGTGTGCAGCGCGGAAAAACGAGTTAAATTAAGTTAGCCTCGTTAGACACCACGCTTAATTGGATTCGCTAATTTCACGTGGAAATAAAATCGAGTCGACAAATGTTACGAAGTCGGCGCGCAAGGTAACGAGTTTGCAGCCGCAGTTTGCATCGTTTCGTCGGGACGATATTTCATTTGGACAGGTATTAGCGTTACTAGTCACTTTAAATTTATGAACAGTTGATGTTTAGGATATTTATGGATATTTCTCTCGGCCGATTTGCCGCGGATGCCATATCGCAGACTAAATCGATCGTATTTGGCATCTAAATCAGAGTCTTCGTTTGTAAGCATGATGAAAGACCAGACTGCCGCCGTGATTTTGGCGCGAGTGTACCGAAAGGAATAATTAAATAAAGCCAAATCCGCGACCTGGAAAGATAAACTCTCCGCCGGCTCAGCAAATAGACCGACGAGAGTCGTTCCTGCGCGACCTAAGATCAACGAAAGATGCCTCCTCGACGGAATTGATAGTTATTGCCGTGTGCAGCGGCGGTTCGTTCGTTTGACTATCCTGGGGTTTGTCCCATATAAAAAAAAGAATTGCAAATATCGTGCGAAACATGAAAGATCAAATTTCTTGATCTTAAGATGAAAACCGTTACACAAATTTTTTTAAGACTACGAACTACGGAAAAATGTCATTATTTATCGTACCATTTTATTTTTTACATTAAATACTAGACTTCAAGGCTACTATTTAATTAAGCAAGATTATAATTGTTAAACTAATTAATTGCTTTAATTTTTAAATGCTTTTATAGAAACAATTATCTTCTTGTATATGCGAGTATATCATTAAATATTTGACTATTGATGCAAAATATATGCATATCATTAATGTCATTATTATTGAATAAAAGTTGTTAGAATAATATTTCTCGGAAAATTAAAACTAAAAATAATGCGTTTAATTATCAATGCAATTATGTTTATAATCGGCGCACAAGTTATTAATGAAACGGAATAAAAAATTGTAGTTTAAAAATAGTCAGTGATGAAATAGAACTCACTGTTGCCTTGAAACTTCGAGGCCTGTATTTATTGAAGAGCGCTATTTTGTATCAATGGACCTCATAAAGCGATCGTGAGTCTTTATGTTTATCGTACTTGCTCTTTGAAAACTCGATTCCACCTGAACAGTAACACGGGCTTTTACGAGAACGAGTGAAACGAACGAAGGTGTCAAAGCTTTCTCACTCAAATTTTTTTTACGTCTAGTATTGCAGTTTTTGCGGAATTTAACGATGACAATGAATTCTGTCATGTACGATGTACGATTATAAAAGTTTCACAGTTAATGCTGAGAAGAAGGCATACTTTTAAAGGAGAACTCATTCAGGAAATAAGAACTGACACTATCATCATATATAAAATCGTGAAAATAATTATTTTTTCTAACGTGAGAATGACTCTCACGTTAGATATGCTTTATGCTTTATATAAGATTGTAATTAACAGGATAAAAGGAGTTTCAAGTTTAAAACTGAGCTCCTTTCAGATTTCCAACCTTAACATTTACTATACGTGACAATCCTGAATGTGCACTACGGGTTAAAGTACTCAGAAACGTCCGTCTCAGTTTCCACCCCGAAATACTACAAGGATCCTATTGCGATTCTTTTAGGGTGTTAACCTTTCCACGTCTCGCCCGAGTTTTTAACGACGTACGTTTATTAGCTGAGCTAAAAAATAATGCAAGTGCGATAAATAACACGGTAATCACTTTTTCCTCGCTTCTAATATTAAACAAATAATTATATCTTTTTGGTTCCTGACGTTAGATGGTTCATCTTAACTAGAAGATTAATAAACGCTTTTAATAAATTATTTTGTGACTTTTCCTGTCAAAATAGTTAGCATTCATAAATTAAAGAGTTGCAACATTTTTAATTAGTTTTATTATTAATTATATTTTAGCATCTGTTATATAATCTGTTATATAATTTTATGGAAAAATATGTATATTTTTAACACACGAATTTTGATTAGTTTTATTTATATAATTTTTTTAAACCGCTTTGTATTTTTACCTGGTTATAGAACGATTTTTAACACATGCACAATTAAAGAACTTAATTGTGGTTAAGTATACTTACAACTTATCACTTAATTTAATTGCACAGACACTTATTTTTTTATTATGTTTACAAAACATTATTCTATTTATGCTTGCAACATATTCCTTACAAGCTGTTTACGCGTTAATCTGGCTGCTTCACAGCCGACTGTCTCATTGAAATCTCCAGGGACTTGAAAACGAGGGAAAACGGTCTACTAAATGATCCTTCCCGTCTTCGTGACGATAAGAGGAAATCGCGGATCAGCGAACTCATTGTGGTATCAGCGCCATATATCTGAACTAAAGCAGCACTCGCTGTGTTAATTTCTCCATCCCCGACAGGTTAATCAGCTCACGATCGAATGGACCGTCGAGTGGACCATTGAAGGGAATGCGTCGGTTAGGATTAAGGGTACCTGATCAATCGGGAATATGCCGATCTTTCAACCGATAACTCCCTTTAGGGAGACTCGCGAGCTAAATTTCGTGCCGAGAAACAGCCTGAAAATCGCATTACGATCTTTATATTTCACTTGATTTTCAATCGTTTTAATCGGAACATTAATTGATCGGGATTTCAGCGACATACTCCAACGCTGGAGCACTTTCGCGAAAGCGAAAGTTGTAATATCGAGGAATACCTCGAGGATCACGTTGTCCGCACGAGTGTTACTCCTTGATCTTCCACCTGGTCTTAAATCCCGACGCATTAATTGGCTGTCGTCTCATTCCCGAGCGCCTCGTCCAGATTTCACGGAGAAACGAAGAGACGGAAGGAAAAGAGAAAAGTGGAGGGTATTGACACAGTCGGCGTTTGTCACGATCTTGCCGCAGGTTCTTCTTTTGGCGGGAACGAGCGACCGGGGGGAGGGGGAGTCACGAGGGTAGGAGTCTGCCGAGGGTGTGAGAAATTTACCCTCTTTCCGCGAGCCGGCACGCACGTTCTCTCCCGTTCTCCCGGCTCGCGAGACGAGAGAGCACTGCGTGCTCCTCTGAAAGCAACCCCTGATTCGAAGCCGCGACCCTCCCCCTCGCTACCCTTGCTTCTGAACTGCCGCTGCTCCTCCCTCTCGCTCTCTGTCCTTTCCCTCTCTCTCTCTCTCTCTCTCTCTCTCTCTCTCTCTCTCTCTCTCTCTCTCTCTTTCTCTCTCTCTCTCTCTCTCGGTATTTCTCTCTCGAGTTTCCTCTCGCCCTCGCCAGCTTCCCACTCCGTATCCGTTTCTCTCTTTCTCCCTTCTCCTTTTCTCTTTCCTTCGTCTTCTACCTCTCAAAATTCTATCTTGTCAGTTCTGTCTCGTTACCTACCTTGCTCTTTCTTTGCACTCTGTCTTTCTTCTTTTAAACTTCACTTCACGCTCTCTTCACACTCTCGCAAGATTCCATCTCCCGCTATCGTCCTCGACATACACTCAATTTCGGGTAACTTCAAGCTGTCCCTCAATGATGGTGGAAATTGGCCAATCGTCAGTTTTTGCGGGCACGAGAGTAAGTTTCCTTAATATCGTCACACACACACACACACACACACACAAACTGGGATTTCACACCTAACCGAGACTTTTTATACTCATGCCTTCGCGAGTTTCTTCTCAATTTAGAATATGTACACCTGTCTTTTGAGATATGTAAGCCGATACTATTGTTTTCTTCGGTACGATCTTTGCTATAAAGAAAATAATACTGGTCGGGTAGAGAGAGATATTACTATCGAAAAGCTTGCCTCGAGCTTGCTCCTTACAATTAATAAGACCTAATATTAACTGATATTTGTCACGTCCATTTCTATTAGAACATGATAAGTTGAGCGATTATTGAGATCAGGATCTATTAACTCGAGTGTTTGCAACTCGACGAATCGTGTAAAGATACACGGTGCGGTCTCGCTGCGCGTGTATTTGGCGCGAGACACTACTGTGTCTTTTAATATTCTGTTTTTGTTATAAAGATTTATCTATTTATGAGTACTTAGAAAAAAATAAATTATGTATATATGAATCTGATTCTTTATGTAAAAAATAATATTTTCATGCATATCAATATTTTTCATTTATTATCAGCTCTTACAGAAAAAATTATTCGATATTTAAAGTATTAATTCAATTCCATTTATTAATTTAATTCCATTTTTAATTTATCGAAAATGTATAAGATTTCTATATTTTTAGAGATATTTAGAAGAGAAAATTTTATTTATAGAGAAAAAAATTATTTTATAAATACAATGAGTTTAAAAATGAGTATTAAATACGAAATATTATTATCCATCTCGTGTGTAGCATTTATATACTTTTTCTTTCTTTGTTCCATAATTTTTATGGAAGTTATGAAATATTAAAGCTTTCATGATTCAACAATAGCTTGACGAATATTGCATATAACGATAATTAATCGTTCAAATTTTCTTTTGATCGTTAAAATATTATTTTAACATATAGCAATTAGTCGTAAACTGCTAATTTCATAACGGAATTGAAAGCTAATCTCATATTTTACGTCGAAAATATATAAACTCAACAGCCCGTTTAATATCTCGTTATTTTGACGGTGTAAAATTTGCTGCAATCATAAATAAGATGAGGCAAAAGGCAACGAGGAAGTGCATTGTATTTCAGTGCGCTGTATTTAACTCGATGTATTTAACGTTATATGTAAAATGCGCGTTGCTTCGCGAACGTTTCGCATAACGACTTTGGTGAAATTTTATATGTATAATGTTTTACACATGCATATGAACAATGCGCTTACATGTCGTTTCCGTGACGTCACCTGCAGTGCTTTACAAGCGGGTGCCAACGCATTTCACCCGATGACTAAATTTCATTCCAGTGCAACAGTGACATATATGGCAAACTTCTTGGTAATAAAATAACTCTCTACGCGTATACAAATCATAATAATAAACGCGTAAAACGTAAAAGCCGGAATTATATATGACGATTGAAAATGTTAGCTAATTAAAGTAATTAGCTAATTTTTTATGAAACGGTTAAATAAAAAGTTGATCATAGTTAAATAGTTTTAACTATTGTTAACACACGAATACATGTTTATAATTGTGTTTTAAGAAAACGAAATTGTGCTTAAAAATGAAGAAAACTGTCTGGGCGAACAGAGGATACTTTCTCGTCCAAGCAAATATCAGTTTTGCCGAATAAATTATGTGATATAATAAGTTGAAACGTTAAAATTCGTCGATGTGATTAACAAACAATAAATATTGAATCGACAAAATATTATTTGTCGCGCTAATTAAATCAATTGACTTAATATCTGAATGTACTTTGTTTATTTGAAACATTAGACATGTTCATAATTACGACGCAGGTTTTTTCTCGATATAAATCTTGACGAGGTGCTTGCAGGTTTTGTAAATTTATAAGGTAGTATATCATACGCTTGATTGAGAGGCGGACGTATCGGGAAAAAGTCAATATAGTCGCCGCATGAGTTAACGAAGTGCAAATATACATAGAGTTCGTTCAGTACAATTTGGGTGTACAGTTCACGCTTGATTTAATCCCGTTGCGTCTTGTTGCATCGAAGTGTATACGCATTTTAACCGATAAATACGCGCCATACCGCATCAAGCTAGCGACAGTGTTATCAATTTTTATATTAGACGGATATTTCTCTCCGTTTCACCAATTTATTCAACAAATATTCGGCATTTATTTTAATGGATGATTTTTATTATGAAATGGGTTAATTTTTTCATACGAGGCTTATTTATAATAAGACTTCCTTCCCGATGTGCGAAATCAGGTCTATACTTTTGTCTAAGATACTTTGTTTTCTTTACTATTCGCGGAATTGTAATTTTTTGCTCAGAGTTACAATTCTTTTTTTAAACCTTCAAGCATTGCGTATTTATTTTATAGATATATGTAATCTGTTTTCATAATTGTTTTCTTTTGTGCAAATGTTTTACGTATAGATAAATGCTGTTAAAGGAAGATGAAAATTTTTAATATCTTGATGTATTTGTGCATACTACCGTGCGCAATTACGAAAATAGCTCTAACGTTGAACACGAGATACAATTTCCTTTTAATCAATTTTTGCTGAGAAAGAGAGACACCGTTAAATTTAACGTACAATTTATAGGAAATGACGGAATAATCGGCAGGAAATGAGCAATTCTCTGAACGCGCCGTATAACGCACGCGGAGGGTATCACGGTGGTAATGTAATTAGAGATTGTAAGCAACTGCAAGAAGCGATTAATCATTGAGCTGCCGGCAATTTGGTGTACATACATACACTGGTCCGCGCTCGATTCTGCTGCATCGGACCGCATGTATGTTGCACAGATGCGCTTCGGCAGTTACGTAGAGTGCACTTGCTATGCACTACCGGTCCGCACATTACTGCAGTACGTATAGTAACGTGTTCTTCAACCCAACATTCCGCGCGGGACGAAACTTTTTCTACAAATTTTGTAGTGTACTTTAACAAACAAGCAACTTACGAAATAAACTAAATCGAATCAAAACTTCTAACAATAAATAGGACTATTCGATCTAGATTTTCGCCTTAAAAATGAAATTTTGTGAATTTAGGTTTCTCTATTTCTCAGAAAATTATTTCTGTAATAGAACAATTTTATATCGTTTTAAAAATTAACATTAAAAATATACAAAAACATAATGCACATATATTTATAGCTGCCGATTTATAAAACCGTTTGATATTTAAAAAATAATATGCGTCATTAACAAAAAAAGATTGATCAACACTGACTCGATAGGCAACTTGAATGGAAAAAGTGTGGGCATAGGTTTTCATTAGCGCTCGAGTGCCCAGAGGATCCACACAGAAACCTCCCGGCTCTCCATCTCATCCCTCGTCGTGTCGTATTAGCCTCGACCGATCTAAATGCTCGATTGATTGATCGATGGGATCGTTGACATTGGAAATAGGTCAACCGTTAGGGTGGCTGGTTTCGCCAAGGCAAAAAGTATAATTCACCGAAAAGACATACGATCCTACCATATTTCCATAACTAATTTAATGTGAAAGAAGAACGAACTTTTTTTTAAATTGAATAAATAACAAAGTGAATCAAACTAAAAATCAACGAAGTTGTGTGTGTCAAAAAACGCAACTATTCGAAAAGAATATGCGCAACTTATAATTCATATTTAGTCCAACATAAAGTGCATTATTTATATTAACTTTACCAATAATAAATTTATAATAATAAGATTGATATTGATATTAACGCTTTACCAAGGGTATCATCTCGATTGTATCTCTCTACTTCGTAATAGATTTATTCGTATTCCCGTTGTTCGAACGTATCTGCTGTATTTATGTCTCGTAGTTACGTCTTGCGTTCCAAGCACGCGTGTTCAAAATAGTCGGTTGAGGATTAATTCAGTCGATATTAAGTGCATGATTTATATTCAACGGAATAATTTACTGATCAATAATAAAATAATAATAAAATTGACACTGAGATTAATGCTTTATCAAGTGTATTGTCTCAATTGTATCTCTCTACTTCGTATTAGATTTATGTTATTCCTTTTGTTCGAACGTATTTATGTCTCGTAGTTATGTTCTAAGCACGCGTGCTCAAAATAGTCAGTCGGTTGGGAATTAATTTATCGTGCCAATTAAAAACGAATGCGAAATCCGAAGTGACACGACGTGACAAAAATATCACAATGGAAAATTGATTGCGATCACCTGCAGTTGTCGTATCCTGTCATAGAGATGCATTGTACGCACTCGACTCGGTTTTGCGATCCGCAAATAATCGTACTTTCGCGCGCGCATTTATTTAATTGGGTAAAAATCGAGACTAAACGCATCGCTCGTTCGAACAAGCAAATGGATATTCCCCGAAACCGTCAGTTGCGATTTTGCACGGGAAAAACTGACTGCTTCATACTGCTTTTCTTTATTGAAAAATTCCATGCATGTTAAGCAGATCCGGGATGACGTTGCGCTTTGATT